ATGAACCAGGTCAAGCACGTGGATCACTGCTCTTTGGAGTCCTTCCCACACCTTAACAGAATATTTTTTTTTTCTTCTCTTCTCTTTTTGGTGAAATTCTCATTCTGTGTGAACAGTGAGTTGAACTCAAAAAAAAATCAGTCTTATATCCATCTTTCACATCAGGACTCTCCTTTTAACCCTTTTTGGACAAGATTAGGGCAACCAGTTTTGCAGTTGCTGCTTACTGTTCTATTTCTTTCCAGCCCCCACAACACCATTGGCTGAAGTTATTTGTAAGGGCTTGTTTAGATTTTTCTAGAAATGCTGGGGTTTATTTCCTTATTTTCCTTCTTGATTGCTGTGTGTCTTACACTGCTTAAAGTGTAGAGCAGCTATAGGAGATAACAGCTCAGTTTTGCGTTTATGCAACCCACTAGTGGAAATAGGCCTAGAAAGTCTAGTTTTCTGGAGAACTTGCTGTGCAAGTGAGTGTCTGGCTATATACCTCTAATCATTAAGGAATTGCATTTTATGAGCTGTGAAGGGATCTTATACCTTTCTGAGAGAGGGTTTGGGGAACAGGAGTGAACGCAGCGCTCCTGCACCTCCTCCCTGCAGCCTGCCTGTCCTTCTACCGGCGGCATATGCAGTGCATCTGCTTGGGCATCAGAAAGTGCACCTGAATGTGCCTGAGGACATACCTGCAGTCCCATACATAGACTCCAAGGTTACACTCAAAAATCAATCTCAGTGGACAAATAGACATTCTCTTTTAATCCCCTGGCCTGGAAGTATCTTGGTTCTGTACACCACTTGAGAACCATAGAAAACGAAGGAGAGGAGATTCACAGAAATGTAACAAGTTTGCCAGAGGGCAGAGAAACCTCCCAGGGCTGTCAAAGTGGCAGAAACATAAATTAAGCATGTCTGTCTATTAATATTATCTTTCCAAACAAAAGAACCCATACAAGAGTGGCAGGAATCTTCTATTAGTGAGCTGCTTTACCTCCAGTTCATCAGTTTGCAGCAGCAAAAGCATAACTCAGCAATGAATGTGTCAGTTATGCCAGGGGCAAGCCATTATTCCAAAGGGATCATCTCTAAATAAACAAAGAGAACAAACAAAAAAAAAAAAAAAGAGTGATCAGTGATCATGTGAGGATGAGCAAAGATTACTCCCAGCTGACCTTAGAAGCAGAACTTTCCAAACAAATTTGGTGTGTGAAGCACTAAAAATACTATTTTTGTCCTTGTCTTTACCTTTAATAGCTGCCAAAGAAAGAAACAAAGAAAGAATTTCGCCCTCATTTTGCAACAATTTTGGAGTAACTGATCAGCAAAACGCAGAAAGTCAAGCGGCGGGAAGATTTACTACTCCGTTTTGTTTCAGTTGCATCCTACAGAGTGCCATCTAGGGGTAAATCAATAGAAGGCTTGTAAGAGTTGAAAACTTTGTATTTCATTTAAAAAAAATGAAAAGTAATGATATTTCAGCTGAAAATAGCTGGAAATTGTGTTCCAAGATCTTGCTAGAGATGCTGAGCATACTGTTTGGAGTGTATAGAGGAGCAGTAAAACTGTAGGAAGAGTATGGCAAGAGATTAAAATAGAATACAAAGGAACTAGTTTCCAAAAATCAGCATTTCCTCACTACAGCAAACTTGGTATTTACTGCTGAAGTCAATCCTACTGTGCTGTCGGAGTGACTTAAATTCGTAATATAACATAACGTACAGCCACTATTCCTTTGTATATTTGAATGAGCACAAGAAAAATTGTATACTTTAGTTTAAAGATTATTTTAGCAGAGATTGTGGAATCCTAACCTGTGGTGATTAAATTCATTAAGACAATTAGTTTTCTTCCTTTGATTTTCTGATAGGACAAAAACTAATCTATTATACTCATAAAAAGGTAAGGTCATTATCAAGCAAATTCATCTATATTTTTGTTTTGTTAACCTGCTTTGGTCCATATTCTAACTTTAAATATTTTTAACAAACATAATTTTAAAGGAATACAATAAATTTCATAATTACACTTCTGCCTAACATTTTCTTTACTTAACATCACTTGAGTCAGCTGAAGGAAGTCTGATTTTTTCAACAGTTTCTAAAAATTATGATAGGTAACCATATCACTTCTGGGGGCATTGAGGCAGTTAAGTGTGCTCAGATACAGTGATGAAATTTGAATTTCTGTCATTATTTAATTTCCTAGAAGAAATTTACTAAAGAAAAAAAAAAATTCATGCTAATAGAAAAGATTCTTAACCCTGAAATCCTTTCGAAAAAGACTAAGAAGGGCCTAGTCCCTTATGGCTAACTCTCCCCAGTCTTCAGACATTAAGTTGCAAGGAAGCAACGTTGTCTTTATCCCTACAAGAAGAAGCCTGAGTGTACAGAAGTCAGGATGAGAAGGAAAAACTGTCCAAAGATTGACATCATCATCTATTGTTGTTCAGTTACTAATATAAGGCTACAAGATTACAAACACACGCAGACATATGTAATTTATCACCACCTTCTTAGGTAGTGTATGCCTGACCTTCAGCCTAACCGTTTCGATTCCGTGGTTACCTGAACCAGCCTAATCTGCGTCTGTGATGTGTTGTAGCTGTGCAGGTAAAATGTTCGCTCCTTCTACCATCAGTGTCTTGCCTATTCCTTTGTCATTTCTTTTTGACCTAACATGGCCTAAAAAACATACCTTAGAATTGCTTGTCTTACAAGGCATTCTATAGAAAGATTTATTGTATTAGCATTATTGTATCACCTTTAGCATACACATTTCCTACTTTGTTTAGATTAGTCTTCAGACTCTGTACAGCTCCTGGTCTGATCACACTTTGATCTATGGCTTAGGGTCCTAGGTACTACTAAAGATGTATATGTAGAAAATTTCATTCTGCTTATGTCTCTCAGTGTCATAGTTATAACAACGCTATAGTTGGTCCTCTTTCTGGAGAGAGCTGCAATAGACCAGTGATATGTTATATCACTATATGATGGAGGAAACTGTTTTCCTTTTTCCTTGAGCTGCACAGTGGCCTTTCTTTACAATATTGATTTAATATTTTATAAATATTTGATGTAACAAATACTGATGGAAATAAAAACTGTGCTGGCAAATATCAGTGTAGCTTAGAAATTTAAATGAGTCATTCTTTCATTCAGTAGTCCCTCTCATGAATGCGCAAGATCCCTTTCACAAGTAATTTCTACTTTCTAAATCACATGGATTTCAACAAGAAGATGACTCATAAAAGGAGGGCTGAGAATCAGTGATAATTATGGGCAACATGCTAAGAAAAAAATAAAAGATAGACCTGTGATACTTGAGAGAAAATGAGTTGTTAGAAATTAAGTGTCTAAATGGTTAGCAGGTAGTGTGTTCATGTTCATTCCATCTAACACTTTCTACATTACTGAGTTGGAAAACTCAAAGAAGTAAAGATGTCAGTGGGTGAAATTCCTCCCTCTTTCACCCCCTCCCAAGTCAATGTCAATATGTATTGATTTTTATAGGCCTCATTCTCATGCAGTGGCATGTAACACATGCTTCAATTTTGTATATGCTTAAGTATATGTGTTACTGAAGCCCTAAAATGGTGAAAGATTTTAGTTTTATTTAAAACTAAATAGTAGGGGGAGAAATTGTGCTGTGATTTATTTTTTCCTAAATAGCTAGCCCTCCAATACAAGGTTTTCCTTCCACCCGTTTCCTGCTTTTAGTAGACAGGGTGAGAATTGTCGTTATTTAGCAAGTGGCACTGTCTGCCGAACCCTGTGCTAAACTAACAGATATAAAGAATAGTACAAATTGCAGAAATTGCAGTGATAACAAAGCCTTTCTCCGTATTTTTAAAGAACTGTACAAACATGAATAAATCTTCTGTAATAGCATATGATTATCTTTTACCATATCTACATTATAAAAGAAATAAAAACATGAAGAGCTTTAAAAAGTAACAACAGCTTTTGCAGTCCTTTTCCTTTTGTTGTTCAAAGTACACTACACTGTATAGAAGACCATGAATATCAACTAATAATTAAAAAAAGAAAGCGTGATTTTCCATACTGGACCCATCTGAAATCATTAATTAATACTATTGTTAATATTCTTTAATTGTTGCCTGAGCAGCAAACATTTTGATTTGTATTTCTTTTGTCTTGGAAGCATTCATGTCTGAGCTCTGATGGATGCATCTATGTACAATTGTAGGACACACATAGCCTAGCACTAAAGTGCAATAAAACAATATTTTAATCTAAATAATCTATCATGGAAGAATGCTGCATGTTGCTAAGCCCTCTTTTCCATGTAGTATTATAAGTTAAAATGTCAAGATGGGATATCGTGTTAGCCAAACACTTGCCCTCCTTCAGTATCCTCTTTAAGTGGGACCTGAGTGATATGGAAAAGCTGAACCAGAGCAAATTCCATTTTGAGAGAGAGATTGGTACACAGTCATCATGTCCCTTTCTAATTAGCTCTAGCAGTCACTGTGTCTGTACTTCATTAGCACTTTGTAATTGTAATTTCATTCTAACCCTATTTTTGGTCTTATATAATGCCTCAAGTTGGTTAAACTTTTCTCCTCCTGTCAGAAGGGAGTTACTAACCGTGCGTTAGGATGCACCCCACCAGCCTCACCATGACAGCTGGTATTCCTGCTCTGTGAAAATGCAGGTTTCACCCTTCGGCTAGATCTAATTTAGAAATATTAGAGTTCCTGATGATTTCCGATAGTTTGGCCTAATTGAATCGAAGTGCTTTTGCATTCAAACTGAAATGCCCAGCTGGGCTGAAGCTGAAAGTCTGTGACCCTGAAATACAATCCCAGAAACATGAGCCCTCCTCTGTGTTGGCAGCTGTCACCTACTGCATCAAAGCCAGAGCTATCTGCCAGTTGGGACCTAAGGCATGGATTGCAAAATCAGTTTGATTAAGAAATAAAGCCTTCTACAGAGTTGAATTACTTACCAGCGGTGGCTGTGGTGGCTACATTTCCTCACACACAGGCAGCAGCTGCTCCGCACAGTGCAACTCGGTCAGCCCGAGGGGCTTTGCTCCCACCTGAACCGGAGGTGCCGTGGCGGTGGCGAGGCAGGCGCTGTGCAGCCATGGGACCATCGCCACCCTTGGGGCACCCCAGAGCGGGGAACCAGGCTGTGGGTTGCTCTTGCTCCGCTCTGGGACTTCATGCATTGCATAGGTCAATAGACCCTCCAGCAGGCACACCAGACCATGGAGCAGGGGAGAAACCACTGATGACAGATGCGTGTGTTAGATTTCGGGAGTATGAGGCAGGAGTTGGCGGGGTGAGTAGCCCGTTGAGTAGGAGACATGGCAGAGCAGATTCAGCCAAAGCCACCTGCGCTCTGTCATCAGGCTCTTCCAGAGATGCTTGCTGGTGTCTTTTCTTTAAATCCATTAAAGCCACTGGTGAAATCCCATTAGTCTCCATATGAAATTCCCACTTACAGGCTTCTGCAGTAGAGGAGTATATACTATCCAGGGTCTTGTCATCATCAGTCTTTTTGCAAATTCTGCTGTTCACTTTCATGCTCAGTCAGGGACAAGTAATATTGGCATCATGTCCCTAGTTCGAAGCCTCCTGTAAGAACACCATACAACTGCACAGTAGCATTTGTTATTCAGCTATTAATAAACATAATAGTAACACCGCTGTTAGTAACAAGCAATAACACAGAGTATGAACCCATGAGGTTAGCCCTGAGCTAAGAATGATACAAATGACAAGTATAAGTATTATCTAATAATCATTTAGCTACTAAAATTATATCCCTACAAAACTGGACAGACTTGTCTCTTTTATTTTAAAGACTAAGTCTATGTAAGAGCACTGCTTATGCATCTAGGAGGCTGGAAGAGCTTATGCAATTGCTGTCATACATTCAAAGTAAATCAGACTGTATTAGACTCTAATATGTCATAGTTTCTGACTTACTGTATTACACTCTCAAAATAACTTAGTACTTGTTACGTCATTGTAGTGTAGGACATTTATTTACAAAAGAAGAGCTAAGGAAAGCTATTCCATCATTTTGACTTTCATCAAGGTGATAAAACACACTCTTGTAATCATCTTAATGGGCTCAATCCTATGCTCCATTAGCAGGAAAATTTTCCATTGAAGTCAGTGCAGATCTTGCTTTCACAGGAGAATTTTGTATTCGGTACCAGTATCCGATCTTGCTATATCAGTGGGAGACATGCTTCTGAAGGTAATGGTAGTAAAATGAGATCTTCTGTGGTGTTTCATAATGTGCTATACCAGCAGGAGAAGAATCATCTATTTCTGGAGTCAAGGAGGTTCACATGTATTTGCTTCTGGTAAAGAAATCTGTGGAAGGGGGTTTGAAATTTGAGAACTGTCAGGATGCCCTGCACAGCACCATGGGAAGCACTTTAGAACTCCTAGCCTTATGCATTTTAATAATCCACATGAGGACAAATCACCTGATTCATACAATGACTTCGATGTTCCAGTTAATTTCAATATGCACTCAATAAAGCTTATCAGGTTATTTTGAAATTTACTTGCGTTTTTGATAAAACACCCTTTGTCTGCCTCAGAAACTTCCCAGAAACTAATGATGCCTTTTGTGCTGAATGAAATAAGAGGTTTCATTTGACCAGGCAGTAATATCTTTTTCAATCTGTAATTTGACACAAACAGGGGAATTTTCAGTTTCATCCACAATTATTTCATTTTTGCTTGATATTTGTTTGCTTTTTCCTGCTTAGAACTCTTTCATACATGCTAAGCAAAGCTCATAGGTGACCTCCTGGTATATATCACAGGTCCATTTTGGCTTCTAGACACATCACAAGACTCCAACAGAACCTCTTCAGTCTTCACGGGATGGTATGTAAACCTATTTTCCCTCTGCTATCACGTACAAAAACCCCTTGGAGCTCTCCCTAAAGATATTCACAATGTGCAGTTAAAGAGGGGTGGTGCAGAGTTCTCGTCAACTCTTCTGCATATTTCAAAGCTTATGATATTGTCTCTGGATTTAAGCCAGGGAAATAATTTAACTTCTCATGGCAGACAGTTTTTGTCATCAGCATAGTTGATAGTCCCTAAATAATTAGGGATGAGCTTACAAAGCTAATGACTTAGAAGAAATAAGAAATGAACAGAAGAATTGTGTTGCACTAATGTTACTTCTTATCAGTTTAATCACAAAATTCTTCCAATTCTAAGTTTACACACAATATATATAATATTAATCTGAACAGATGCACAGTTCAAAACACTATATCTGCCTTTTTCATAAATCAGAACAATCTACCAATGGCAGAACAATCTACCAATAGTTCATGTTTGCTGCAGATATTCCTGAATGCTTATAAATTTTTTCATGTGATTTTATAAAGCTGATCAATACAGAAGAAATGGGCACGATTACAAAGAAATGTTTGGTTCAGAATTTGTTTTTCAGTTTAAAATGTGTCACTTGTTTGTGAGGGTTGAGCTTTCATAAATTTTGAATTCCTAGTAATTCATAAGCTTAGGATTTGAATACAAAGATTAAGAATGTAACTGAATACAATTGCTCTTAGATGTCAACATAGTTTCATTTTTGCCATGATGGCTTACTGCCAAAGGTTACTCTTTCACTGCCTTATCCTACCATAAGGTACTCAAGTAGCAGTTGCGTGGGGCTGGACACTAAGGCAGCGTCTGGACTGTATACATTAAACAGACCTAGCGAATACTCCTAGGCATCACTTAAGCTTTTAAATTCTTTACATGTTCTGTGACATGATTTCAGCCCAGACCAAGTGCCCAACCAATTCCCAGGCTGGGTTGAGGAGTCAGCACAGGCCAAGGATCACTCCAAACATGCAATCTGCACATAACCACCTTGTTCTGAGGATCAGGAAGGTCAAGGGACGCAGGCTTGTGGTGCCAGCTGGCCTCTGTGTCAGAGAATAATCCTGAGAGTATTTATTTTACTAGCATAGATGAAGCTTTAGGGGCAACAGTACAGCTAAACTAATTTTCATGTCAATTAATCAACAATAGATGAACAACTTCTGCAAAGATGAAGGAACAAGTCTAATCAGTTGACTTCACATTTGTATTAGTTTCATCTTTCTTAAGTAACTATTACAACACGTACTGCCTTTAGATCCTTGGTAGAACAAAAGCAGGTAAAAAGATCAATACACTGTAAATCAACTTTTCTTCGAGATGCACAAAAAAATGTACCTTTGAATTGCTACTGACTCCCATTTCTCAGTCGCTGTCTGTTTTTGTTGCAGCACAACCACAAAAAATTCTGCTACCACGTAAGTGGCACATAGACTAGACAGCTGATACAGAACAGCAAAGAGGAGCAGCCATTAGGGGAAGGTGGCGTTTAGGAAGGGAAGAGGAGCTATGCAGGAAAATGAATGAAAAGCAAGGCATGCGACAGTGCATATCAGTTGAAGTATGAGCTATGACAGGAATCACACAAAATGAATTCTGTATCATCTGCTACTTTTACTGTATGCTGTGTGGGACACTAGTTGGAGCATACACAAACATCCCCAAACTATTTCTACAGTTTTTAAAAGATACTCCTCTCAGTTAGTCCTTCTGGAGCAAACTGCTTTTTTCCAGGAAACAGTACTTTGGTTCACAGCCTTGCTAGGTCTAAACACAGGAACAGAATAAACTTCAGTAATCTTTCTTCTCAGTGTATCTGCTCTGCTGCTGCATAGTTTCAAAGCAATAGGCCCAGACTGCTGCTGGGAGCTGCTCTCTGGACTGTTGCAGAAGCCCAGTGCAGCACTGGTGGGGGGAACCAAGCACTGCCTCTGGCAGGCAGAGAGAGCACCAGGACAGGCAGCATCTCAGTGAGGAAACTACGTGGTTGTGGAATGGGCAAAAGGACAACAAGTGTTGCCTGGTTCAGCATCCAGTGAAGCCAATAGGCTGATTCCCTTGGGGGACACTGAATCAGGATGTTGATGCGGTCAGCCACACTGACTTTCCCACAAAGACTCCCTGCACTTAAGGAGAAATTCCACAGGGAAGCCAAGATGGGAACTCCACTGGGTGTTGGGGAACCTGTGGGCTAGGGGAATGGGATCAGCCAGGCCGTGACCTCTTATAGACCAGCTGCCATTGACAGTATGATCCAGGAGGCTGGAGATGGAACAACTGAGAAATACATCTCAGTAGATTTTACTTGCCATCTCTTCTCTCCAGACTTCTCTTGGCTTTTTCCCTACCAGAGACTGCTCTACTCCTTGGCTTTTCAGCTATACCAAATTCTAAGTCGGGCACCTGAAGCAGTCACACTGTTCTTCCACGTGTATACGGCAGGCAATATAGGTATCAGGAGTGTGATTCATCAGACCAAATATGGACATACACATCTGAACTAAATGTCTAGACTCCATTTATCATTTACTGGGAGAAACAGAGACTTTTAGCAAGTGACTCATCTCATGCTAAAGTTACTCTGTTAAATGAACTGTATGCCAGAAGGAGACTATTTCCAACCAGTAATTGTAAAGGGAATTCAGATGTGGTTCAGATGTGGTCATCATACTATGAACGTCTAACGGTAATGAGGTGAAGCCCAGCCATTGCTGCTCAAAAAGCAATAACCTAATCCAGAAATGAGAATATCCTAGCCCAAGAAGATGTATTATAGCTCAATTAATCTAACCAAAGTTTTATTGAAAAGGCATAAATGAACATTATATTTTTACACAGAGAGTGTTTCAGTTTTGAATCAGTGTAGTAAATATTATTGCATGAAATACTAGCATTTGAGGTGTTTATCTTAAATATCTCTTTGACAAATCAGTCTGTACCATATCCAGAACATGAGATATTGTATCGACTTACGTGATTACATTTCAGTTTAATCATCAGTTTCTTCAGGGGACACAGGCAATCTGTTTAGGCCAATAATCATCGCTTTCAGATGCAATGTGCTTTGTTTAGGTTATGAGGGAGCCAAACAGTAATGAAAACATGAGGAAAACATGTGAGGGTGACTGAGCAGTGGAACAGGTTGCCCAGAGAGGTTGTGGAGTCTCCTTCCCTGGAGATATTCAAAACCTGCCTGGATGCGATCCTGAGAAATATGCTCCTAGAG